AAGTTGGAACTGACTAGATGGCACTTAACAACAATGAGAACAATGGCACCACGGAGGAAAGGTCTGGAGATCTGCTTCCATGACAATTACAGTCAAGAAAATCCTATGGACACAAGTCTACTCTGTACCACACAGGCTGGCCTGAGTCAGAGTCAACTTGACAGTGATAAGTTTAACACATATGCACATCCAGAATCATTTCTTGATTGCAGCATTGGATGCCTATACTCCTGGCCCCTGGGAAACTGACTCCTGTACAATCCTGCCACAGGAGGCCAAGAAATAGCTTTTCTTTCCAGTTTAAAAGCCATAAACGAGAAACCTAAATATGCAACAAAATTTAATAAATTGCAGTAATCTCCATAGTAGGATATTATGGAGCCATTAAATGATGTTGTAAAAATATATTTTTGACATAGGAAATAATATTTATAGTATATTCCCATTTCTGCACAAAGAACTTTAATGTTTAAGTAAAAAAAAATGAGGAAAGGTGTATATCAAAAGGTGTAAGCATGCATTCAGTACATTCTGGTTGACTTTAAACAGTGAAGCTAGGATTTCTATTTTTTTCTATGATGATCTACAATTTTTAAGTTTTCTTCAGCAAACTTCCTTGTGATTTTAAAACAACTGAACAAAATAAAATGCTTAACTAAAGAATTCCTCCATTCAGTTACTTACTGCTTTTCTGAATTTGCAACATCTATGCTTTAAATTCTGACTTTGGAATAAATTGTTTGGTTTTGTTTTTGCTTTTCAGGTACTGCATGGTGTTACATGATTATGAAATTAGAACTGGGACACTTGGCTTCTATCCTAGCTTTTCTGTTAATATCTTGGGGGAAGTCAGTACCACTAATTGTTGTGATTTGGGGAAAGTAACTACCCCTCTTTGGACCTTAATTACATCTGAAAACAACAGTACTGACTAAATTCCTGGTACTTAAAGTATAATTTAGGACAGAGAGCATGTGTATTGCCAGGGAGTGTGTACACATGCAAAATTGGGGGCTTCACCCAGACCTACTGAATCAGAATTGCCATCGTCACAAGATCCTCAAGTTATTAGTGTACAGAATAAAGACAGAGAAGTCCTGAGCGAGATCATCTGCAGATCTCATTTCAGCTCCAAGGAATGATGCTTCCTGATGAACCTTTCATAGATTGGGGTCATTAAAGGCCTTGGCCTAATTCAATTAGCCTTTAATAAAATGGAATTTGCTTCTTTACTGTTACAGGCCTTATACATCTGAAAGCAGAAAGCACCCAAGAGGGTATGTTGACATCATGGTCATCACAATGCCATTTCTGATGACTAGTTACAGAAATGTGAATGTCAAATCAAGAACAAAAGGAGGAGAAACCATTTCTAATAGCAGTGAATTTATGGAACGTTTATAGGTGTGCCACACACCGTACTACGCAACCTCTACAGAGATTCTCTTATTTAAATCTCCATATAAAGTAGGTATTTTCTTCAACTTTAAAAACATAGAAATTGAGAGTTAGAGGTTAAGAATACACACCCTGTAAGTGTGTATACACTTAGAGGTTAAGTATACAACACCCATCTACCAAAAGTACATAATCTACCATCTATAGCTACCAAAAAATACATTCAAGAAACATTTATCATTGCAAGCTTAGTTGAGCCATCAACTGTATTTTCATTACATTCACATGCCATTAAGTCTGTCTCTATCCACCACTTCCTAGTAAGAGTGCCTCATATCATGTCTCTTGGTCTACGGAGAGCAAATCCTGAGTGCTTTGGAAGTGTAACCCTCACAGCTCCTAAAGAGCCCTTGCATCTACTTTAGAGTCACTAATAAAAATAGAAGAAGATGTTCTCTCTCAAACTTTTGAGAATGTACTGTTTGTTTTCTATACACCTGATAGAGAAAGTGCTCTTCACATTAATTGAGGTCAGGCATTGAAAACCCTTATGAAGGAGTCGTAAATTCAACTGTGTGTTAGGAAGACCATTGGACTCACAGAATATCCAGATTCTAGCTGCAGCTCTCTCTCATATATTACATGACTTTAGCACTTGACCTCATTCCTCTGAAACTTCAAAATGTGCACTGTGAAAAGAAAGTTGCTAAGCTCTCCCTTGCCTACTTCAGAACACTGCTCTGGGGGACCAACCAGATAAAGTATGTGCATTCACTTTATCCCATGGATAAAGGCAATATGTTACTAAAAAAAATAATTTGTGGTGGGTTTGGAATGTGTGAATTTAGATAATCTGGAACTACATTTCCTAGAATTCTATCCCCTGTATGTTTCCATGTTAGGTTTGGCAATAAGAGATGTTTATTAAATAAGATTTCAAAGGCAGAAGTGAAACCACAGCCATTCTCCATGTTGAAAATCAATGCAGTCCACATGCACTATGGTAGTTCATGGGGTGTGGTTGCTAATCTCCTTTTGTACTGATGCCATGAAGCAACAGCAGTCTTCAGATTTTTTAGCTTAAAGGGATCTTATCCCTGGGCTGGGTACATGTTCAGCTAAGTGGATAAAGTAACAAGTTTCTCCTGCAGGTCTCTTGCATCGTCAGGATTGGAGTTAGTTGGAGATAGAAACAGATTCCATCTTTTTTCGTAATGGCTCACTTGGTCACTAGTAATTCTAGTTTTACCTGTTCTCCCAATTTCTTAACTGCCAACTAGTTGACGTACAGCAACTATTTAACTGCCAACTAGTTGACGTACAGCAACTATAAGTCCATTACCAGATGCAAAGAAAACAACTTTGCATAGACTTCTCCATTTCTCAGAATTGCACTGAATCCTAATGATATATCTCTTATAGCACTGGAGTGCAAATCACACAGTCAGTGGTTCAAACCCACCAGCTGCTCCTCTGAAACCCTGTACAGGGTTGCTATGGGTCAGAATCGACTCCAAAGCACTTAACAACATCAACAAATATATCACTCAGGGTTGGTCATTTCTATACAAACCTTGACTGATGATGCATCACTGATATAAAAAAGAAAAGAAAATCTGAGAAATGTTTTATTATTCCCTTTGCAACTGAATCTTACATTGCTTTGCATATTCAACACAAAAGAAATTATATATTTTATATATGTAGTAATACTCATACAAACACATACTTAGTACACTACCCAACAAAGCACCTCATACCTTACGTATGTTGTTGTTATGTTCTGTGGAGTTGGTTCCGATTCATAGCAACCCTGTGCAGAGTTTCTGAGGCTGTAAATCTTGACGGGAACAGAAAGCCGCATCTTTCTCCCATGGAACATCGGGTAGTTTCGAACTGCTGACCTTAAGGTTAGCAGCCCGATTCATAAGCACTATGATAACAGAGCTTTAGGAATAGCTAAAAATAATGACATGGGTATTTATAATATTCTAAAAAAGAGCTCTGGTAGTGTAGTAGTTACGAGTCATGCTGCTTACCTCAAGGTCAGCAGTTTGAAACTACCAGCAATTCCATGGGGGAAAGGTGAGATGTTCTGCTCCCATAAAGATTTATAGCCTCGGAAACCCTATGCAAGGTCACTATGGGTTGGAACTGACTCCACAGCACATAACCATCAGCAATATTCAAACATACACACATGTATTTAGTCATTTTGGTTAAAACTTCATCTCAACTAAGGGTACATTTAAAAAGCTACCAAATAAGGATTTATTAACTAAAGCTTTAACATAAAACCTTGCCTTTCATTTATTAATAAGATTGATTGAAAAAAAATAGTTTTCCAACAAAGCGATGGAAAATGAAATGGTCTTTGTTGCCATAGTGCACAAATCCTGACTTTGCCCCTTAAATGATTGTAGCCTATAAGCTAACCACTACTGTGTTAACAAGAACATTGAAGGGAGAGAAATGAAGATCTATAAATAGGAAGAACTCAAGAGAGAATAGTACTACAGACTCATGAAGCACTCTCCACTTGATCCCAATGCTAGAAATTCAATTTGATTTTATGTCCAGATATATATAAATCCCATTCTCACTACCCAATCACTTCTTAACTTTCTTACTTGCAATGCATATGTTACAAAGTTCAGTACCAGGCTGCTGCTACAAGATTCAAATTAAAAGTCCATATCATAGTACTAGTATTTCAAAGTACACCCTAATGGTTGAATGCATTCTAACCCTCCATGTCTTTTAAAAACATACAGCCAGTATCCCACATGGGTTGGCTTATAGCTTTACATTCTAGCTTCTGTGTCTCTCCACAGAAAATCAGTTAACTCAGGGAAGATTACTTTTCTTAGCATGAATATTGACTAAGCAGTTAAAGATCCAGGAAGGTTGGAAGACCTGCTTCTCCTTGAAATTATCTGTGTACTTAAGAATAGACCCCTTCATTTCTCTGAAATTCAAACCCTTCATTCATGAAATGAAAATAAGGGTATCTGCTTCACAGGATTCTTGTGAATATTATGTGAAGCAACCGATGAGAAAATATTTAGTAGAACACTATTATAATAAAAGAATATTAGGATTCTTTTCAAAAGACATTTTACATCATTGTGGAAAGAGCACAAAGTTTGGATTAAGACAGGCCTGCTAAAGAACTTGGCTGTCACTAATTGTGTGACATAAGGTAAATCTCTAAACGTTTCAATTTCAGTCCTCAAAGAGGGGGAAAAAAATAAGAATACTACCTACCTGTTTAGGCTTCTGGGAAGCTTGAATGAATTAATTAATATAAAGAGTTTGACACAATGCCTGATGTTTATTGATAAATACTAGCTATTATTATCACCACCTTTTCCCTAATTGAAGAAGCTCTGGTATAGTAATGGATTACAAGCTAAACTGCTAACTGAAAGGTCAGCAGTTCAAACCTACTAGGCATCATGTGGGAGAAAGGTGAGGCTTTCTTCCATAAAGATGTATAGCCTGGCATACAACCACCACCCCTGCAATACAGATACAAATTCACAAGCATACACACACATACATTGGAGGTGTATTCAAAATAGAAAGTCAAAAACTCTTACCCGTGTAACAAAGTACTTCCGTGATACATAAGATCTGTGATAAGGATTGGGGCAGAGTGTTGATTTAGTCACACTTGGTTGCCTTGACATCTGCCTTGGTGCTGAGTCTTTGCCTGGGTTTCCTTCCTCCAAGGACAGGTGATCAGTCTCGGAGGGTTGGTCTTCTTCCTCTTGTTTCAGAGGTACAGGATGAAAACCTTCAAAACTTCCAATCGCTGACATTTCTTTAGCCTAAAAACGTGAGAAGAAACGATCTTCTTATTAACAAAGAAAACAATAAGCTGTGTCCCAGTTATAACAAAACAGGCTAAAATGAGCAAATGATGCTCCTGAAACTACAAACTGCCACATATAAATAAAACAGAGGCTCTGATAGATGTACCTTCATAATATGGGTTCCTAAATATCAGTCACGATTCTATATGGCCATTTATCCTTGGGGTGAGGGGGTTAAGCAGGGATCATTTGGGCAGAGATAAATAACCTGTAAGTCATTCCATTCCTCCTTAAGAGGTAGGTATTGTAATTTTTTCTCACCCCAGAGGACTTGAAGCTGAACAAGAAGAGAGAACAGTAAAATATTTATCAGACAATTTCTTTCCAAGATTTCATAGTATTTTCTTGAAAACCCACTAGTCTGCAGCTATATTTAAAGATGAAATGCCATGAACACACACCATCTCACTTGCTTCTCAGATTAGATCTACAGTCATAATCATTCCCAAAGGCACGTAAAGGTGAGCATATCTTTTAACAACAACAAACAAAAAAAATCTAAAAATGTACCCTAGGGAAATAATTTAGATAAATGTCAATTTGCAGAAAAATACATATGTTTAATAGCAAAATATTGAGTATAATATTAGAATGGTTGTTAAGCGCCATCAAGTCGATTCTGACCCTGTACATGATTTCAAAGGAGTGGTTGGTGAATTTGAACCTCCAACCTTTGACTTAGCAACCCAGTGCTTATCCTACAGTGCTACACCAGGAGTTGTTGTTGTTAGGTGCCATCGAGTTGGTACCGACTCATAGCGACCTTATGCAAAACAGAATGAAACACTGCCTGATCCTGGGCCAACGTCACTATCGTTGCCATGCTTGAGCCCATTGATGCTGCCACTTTGTCAATCCATCTCACTGGGGTCTTCCTCTTTTTATCTGATCCTTCACCCTACTAAACATGATCTCCTTCTCCAGTGATTGGTCCCTGCTGACAATTTGTCGGATGTATGAGAAACGAAGTTTGGCCATCCTGGCCTCCAAGGAACACTCTACCTGTACTTTTTCTACACAGATCTGTTGGTTCTTTTGGCAGCCCATGACACTTTCAATATTCTCATCCAACACCATAACTCAAATGGATCAATTCGTCTATGGTCTTCCTTATTCACTGTCCAGCTTTCACATGTATATGAGGTTATTGAAAATACCATGACCAGGCGCACCTTAGTCCTCAAGCTGACATCTTTGCTCTACAACACTAAAAAGGTCTTGTGCAGCAGATTTGCCTAATGCACTACGCAGTTTGATTTCTTAACTGCTGCTTCCATGAGTGTTGATAGATGATCCAAGAAGAATGAAGTCCTTGACAACTTCAATCTTTTCTCTGTTGATAAGAAAGTTGTTTATTGGTCCAGTGGTGAGGATTTTTGTTTTCTTTACACAGAGATGTAATCCATATTGAAAAATGTGCTCTTTGATCATCAGTAAATGTTTTAAGTCCTTTTTACTTTCAGCAAGCAAAGTTGTATCATCTGCATATCGCAGGTTGTTAATGAGTCTTCCTCCAATCCTAATGCCACTTTTTTCTTCATATGACCCAGCTTCTCAGATTATTTGCTCAGCATACAGGTTGAATAAGTATGGTGAAAGAATACAAGCCTGTCAAACACCTTTCTTAATTTTAAACCATTCCGTGTTCCCAACTCTATTTTGAGGAGGCAGCTCTTCCCCAGTCACATTTTGAATGCCTTCCAACCTGAGGGCCTCATTTTCCGACACTATATCTGACAGTGTTTCTCTGCTATTCATAAGGTTGTCAGTGACTAAATATTCGGAAGTAATTCATCACTCCTTCTTCCTAGTCTGTCTTCATCTGGAAGCTCATCTGAAACCTGTCCACCATGGGTGACCCTGCTGGTATTTAAAATACCGGTGGCGTAGCTTCCAGAATCACAGTAACTCACAAGCCACCACAGTACGACAAACTGACAGACGTGTGGTGGACACCAGGAATTAGACACACAATATTGCATCTAATACTAAAATAAGACTAAAGAAACTAAATATTTTCTGCAGGGAATTAGCTAGATAAAATATACTATGTTGTTGTTGTTAAGTACCATCAAGTCAATTCCAACTTATAGTGACCCTGTATAGAGTTTCTGAAGAACCGCTGATGGGTTTGAACTGCTGACGTTTTGGTACGTAGTCCAGTGCTGATCCACAGCACCACGTCAGAAGTCCAAATATAGTAGTATATCATATAGTATATTTGATATAAAACACAATGTAGCCATTTAAAATGTGAATTATATACTTTTGTTATCGAAAGATGTCCCAAATACGTCACTGGTGGAAAAAAGTGAGTAAGTTATATATTATTATAAATGATGTCATTCAATTTTATTAAAATAATTCACAAAGAAAAGAAAGAAGGGAGGAAGGAGAAGGAGGAAGGAAGAAAGGAACATGTTATACCTGTATTTGCATGTGTGTGTGTGAGTGTGTATAGAGAAAGAGAGCCCTGGGGATGCAATGGTTAAGTGCTCTCAGCTGCTAACTGAAAGACTGTAGGTTTGAACACACCCAGCCTATCTGTAGAAGTAAGACATCATAATCTATTCTTTTAAAGGTTTCAGCCTAGAAGACCTTAAGGAGTAGTTCTTCACTGTCATATAGGAGCTCTATGAATCAGAATGAACAACAACATATATTAAACTTTTTCTAACCTTTATCATATCATGTTGTTGTTGTTAAGTACCATGCAGTCGGTTCCGACACATAGTGACCCTGTAAGGGTTTCTGAGGCTGTAAATCTTTACGGAAGCAGAAAGCTTCATCTTTCTCCTGTGGAACAGCTAGTAGTTTTGGACTGCTAACCTTGAAGTCCAATTCATAACCACTATGCTACCAGTACCATATATTACATATATTCTTATAGTGACCCCATATAGGGTTTCCAAGGCTTTAAATCTTTGCAAGATCAGAAAGCTTTTCTCCTGTGGATCAGTTGGTGGTCTATAGCCACTGACCTTCAGTTTAGCAGTCCAATGCTTATCATATGGAGCCACCATGCTATCTTTCTCTATATATACATATATATAGTCCTGGTGTGGCACTGTAAGATAAGCACTGGACTGCTAACTGAAAGGTCAGTGGCTCAACCCCACCATCCACTCCTCTGAAATCCTATACAAGGTCACTGTGAGTCAGAACAGACTCCACGGCACTTAACAACAACACCATAATAGATGCTATGTTCATCTGTGACCAAGCCAGACACAGGAGACATCTACACAGTATTAGTTATTACATATAGAAAGAATTAAACAGAAATTTAGTGTAAGTTTACCCTATATATTTGGTGTAATATTATACTTTTAGGTGTAATATGTTACCCTATATGGTTTACCCTATAGAATATTATACTATTAAGTATGGAATGAAGTAAACTAAAATATTAACAATGGCTATCTCTGCATAATAGGGTTAAAAATCCAAAATAGGATTTTTATTTTCTATTTTGATAAGTTTGTGAATGATTATAACAAACATTTACAACAAAAATAAATTTTTAAAAACATAAATAAATTGATTAGTCAATCTGCTTTAACCACTCGCTGTTACACCAAAGGCTCTTCATAAAAGACAATAGGAGGTACATGCTAGCCTAATGAACCTAAGACAAGCTGAGGGCCGGTAGTTGTCTGCACAGTAAGTACAATGTTATACTGAAGGAGGTTCGGAAGGAGGGTCCAGATTCACCAAGTAACTAGGAATGCCAGCTAATTCTCAGGGCTGTCTCAGTGTTCTTAAACAGACAAAGGTGGTTTTAATTCCACGCAATGTTCTTGAAACTTGTGGAACACCAGGAAGTGGGGCAAAGCCCTTGTCCTAACTCTGGAAGATGGGATCACCTAGATAGAGGATATGAGAAAGAGAAAACTCACACGATGATAAAATTTGAAGTCTCAAGATCACTTTGAACTACAAGGTTGGCAGTTCAAACTAACCCCCTCACCCCTACCCTGCTCCTTGGAAATCCTACACTGGTTCATTATGAGTCAGAATCAATTAGATGGCACTTAACAACAGCAACTTGGGCAATTGTGAGCACAAGAAAGACCCAAGCCTATTAAAATTTATGCCAGGATGGTAGTAGTAAACTGGGACTGTCTCAGGTGAATATGTGTATATATAGTCACCCTAGAGTCCTGGTGTGGAACTGTAGGATGAGCACTAATCTGCTAACCACAAAGTCAACAGTTCAAACCTACCAGTCACTTTTGGAAACCCTATACAGTGGCTACTACCACTGTGCAAGTCCATCTCAGAACTGACTTGATGGCACCCAACAACAACAACAAGAGTTTGAATATATGAGAAATCACAGTTGGAGTGGAGGGTGGGTAACAGCAGCTCACAAGTGAATGGCCCTCTACAGGTCATACATATTTTACCTGATTGTCTCAGTAACTCTGGGAAGGTTGGTACATGATGGCCTTTCTAGTTATCATCTTTTAATTTCTACAAAACTGATTGACTAGAACTATGCAAATAAGGATCACAGGGATTGGACCATTTACTATGACTATACACAAAGAGGAACCTATCAGGGAATTGGTTGGTTTTGCCATACTGCTACGCTTAAAAGGGAGACTTCACTATCATCAAGAAGAAGCATCTGGAGCAGAAGATATCCTATGAACCAAGGACTGGACTGAGAACCTCCTAAACCCAAAAGAAAGAGCAGATGTTGAAAATGATGAGAGAGGAGGTGAGCTGAGCACCTATGGACAGGAGCTGCAATATGTGCTTATGCAGGGCAATGGCTTGAATGCCCCCCAAACAGATGTTACCTAAGAATTTTCTGTGTGGGGTTTTCCTACCACAAGGTAGAAGTTGAGGACTCTGGACAAAAGGCTTACTAACAGAGCTAAATGACCTGTGGCACACGCTTGTCCAGAGAAAGAGATGTCTGAATATTCCCTGTGCAGGAAGG